CTCAAGTTTTTAAAAGATGCAGAAAATCTAGAAAGGGTTCAGCAAAGATGATCCAGGGTCTGGAAACAGTCTGAGAGACTGAGAGAGCAGGGCGTGTTCAGCCTCAAGAAGACTGAAAGGGGACATATATGATAGCGCTCTACAAATACCTCAAAGGCTGTCACAAAGAGGAAGGAAAAGATTTCTTTTTACTCATCCCTGAGTGTAGGATGGAGAACAACGAATTTAAACTGCAGTGTACCAGATTCAGGCTAGACAGCAGGAAAAACTTCCTATCAGAGCAGTAAGACAGTGGAACCTCTTTCCGAGAGAGTTGTGGGCTTTCTTACACTAGAGACATTCAAGGCAAATCTGAATGAGTGTCTCCTTCCATACGTGCCTGCCCGCCCCTTAAGATCTGGGGCAGAGGTCCGTCTCCAGGAGCCCTCCCTGAAGGAGATTAGGAGGGTAGCTCCCCGGAGAAGGGCCTTCTCTGTGGTGGCATCCCAACTGTGGAATTCACTCCCTGGAGAGGTTTGCCTGGCACTGTCACTTCATTCTTTTTGGCTCCAGGCTAAAACCTGTTTATTTTCCTAATGTTTTAAGATCTGATCGTTTTAATTGGGGTTTTATAGCTGTTTGGAAATTTTATTAGGACGCTGTGTTTTATTTTATATTGTCTGATTGTTAAACTGTCCAGAGACCACAGTAAGGAGTGGTCCAGAAAAAAAAGAGAGCAAGTAAATAAATAAATCTGGGCAGTTACCTGGGTGGGAGGATGCAGCTTGGCATCCTGCCCCAGCAGGGGGTTGGACCCCATGGCCTACCTGGCCCCTTCCCACCCTACTGTTCTGTGAATCTGTGACTCTCTTATTGGCCTTCAGAAGAAGACCCCAGATGCTGATTGCAGAATCTAGGAAGAGTGTGGTTGGGAGAGGCGCTTTTTCAAATGCCGTGGTCCAAAGGCATGTATAGGCTAAGACCAGCACCTTGAACTGGGCTCCAAGGCATACAGGCAGGCCAAAGCTGGCACTAATGTTGAGTCCCACAGGTTCTCGTTACTAAACCAGCTGCTGCATTTTGCTCCTGCTCAGTATTCGTTCTGCGCACAGCGCCATGCAATGTCCAAGGCTACCAGAGCCTGTTGTTGCTGCTGTTAGTCGCAAAGTCATGTCCGACCCATCGCAACCCCATGGACAACATTCCTCCAGGCCTTCCTGTCCTCCACCATCCCCGGAGTCCACCTAAACTCACTCCGACTGCTTCAGTGACTCCGTCCAGCCACCTCATCCTCTGCCGTCAATTGTTCCCAGCATTAGGCTCTTCTCCACTGAGTTCTTCCTTTTCATTAGGTGGCCAAAGTATTTGAGTTTCATCTTCAGGATCTGGCCTTCTGAAGAGCAGTCAGGGTTGATCTCCTCTCGGACTGACCAGTTTGATTGCGAGATCCAAGGGACTCGCAGGAGTCTCCTCCAGCACCACAATTCAAAGGCCTCAATCCTTTGGCGCTCAGCCTTCCTTATGGTCCAGCTTTCACAGCCATACATTGCAACTGGGAAAGCCATAGCCTTGACTATACGCACTTTTGTTGGCAGGGTGATGTCTCTGATTTTTAGTATGCTGCCTAGATTTGCCATAGCTTTCCTCCCCAGGAGCAAGCGTCTTTTAATTTCTTGGCTGCAGTCCCCATCTGCGGTGATCTTGGAGCCCAGGAAAATAAAATCTGTCACTACCTTCATTTCTTCCCCATCTATTTGCCAGGAAGTGAGAGGACCGGATGCCATGATCTTAGTTTTCTTAATGTTGCTTTTCAAGCCAATTTTTGCGCTCTCCTCCTTCACCCGCTTCAAGAGGCTCTTTAGTTCCTCTTCAATTTCTGCCATTAGAGTGGTATCATCTGCATATCTGAGGTTGTTGATATTTCTCCCAGCAATCTTAATTCCAACTGGAGATTCATCTAGCCCTGCCTTTCTCATGATGTGCTCTGCATTTAAGTTAAATAGGCAGGGCGACAGTATACAGCCTTGCCAAACTCCTTTCTCAATTTTGAACCAATCAGTGGTTCCGTGTCCAGTTCTCACTGTTGCTTCTTGGCCCACATATAGGTTTCTCAAGAGACAAATAAGATGGTCTGGTACTCCCATCTCTTTAAGAACTTGCCACAATTTGTTGTGATCCACACAATCAAAGGTGTTAGCATAGTCAATGAAGCAGATGTTTTTCTGGAACTCTCTAGCTTTCTCCATGATCCAGCGTATGTTGGCAATTTGATCTCTAGTTCCTCTCCCTCTTCGAAATCCTGTCTGTACTTCTGGTAGTTCTCAGTCCACATACTGCTGGAGCCTAGCTTGTAGGAGTTTGAGCATAACTTTGCTAGTATGTGAAATGAGTGCAATGGTGTGGTAGTTTGAACATTCTTTGGCATTGCCCTTCTTTGGGATTGGTATGTAAACTGACCTTTTCCAATCCTGTGGCCACTGTTGAGTTTTCCAAATTTGCTGGCATATTGAGTGAAGCACTTTTAAGGCATCGTCTTTTAAGATTTTGAATAGCTCTGCTGGAATACTGACACCTCCACTAGCTTTGTTGTTGCTTAGACTTCCTAAGGCCCATTTGACTTCACATTCCAGGATGTCTGGCTCGAGGTCAGTGACCACCCCATCGTGGTTATCAGGGTTGTTAAGCTCTTTCTTGTATAGTTCCTCTGTGTAATCTTGCCACCTCTTCTTAATCTCTTCTGCCTCTGTTAGGTCCCTGCCATTTTGGTCCTTTATCATGCCCATCTTTGCATGAAAGGTTCCCTTCATATCTCCAATTTTCTTGACGAGATCTCTGGTCCTCCCTATTCCATTGTTTTCTTCTATTTCTTTGCACTGTTCCTTTAAGAAGGCATTCTTATCTCTTCTAGCTATTCTCTGGAATTGTGCATTCAGTTGGGTGTATCTTTCTCTTTCTCCCTTGCCTTTCACTTCCCTTCTTTCCTCAGCTATTTGTAAAGCTTCCTCAGACAGCCATTTTGCTTTCTTGCATTTCTTTTTCTTTGGGATGGTTTTAGTTGCTACCTCTTGTACAATGTTGCGAACCTCCATCCACAGTTCTTCAGGTACTCTGTCCATCAGATCTAATTCCTTAAATCTATTTGTCACCTTGACTGTATATCTACCAGAGCATAGATTCCTGATACTATGCTATCCTTGTCCAGATAGGTCTGTACCTGGGCCGCCAGCCAGACCCAACAGAAGGTGCTCCATTCCGTGGAGGGTGCCTATGCGTCAAGCGACCAAGGTGGATCAAGGTAGAGAATCCTCATGCAATCAGCTTGCTCCTTCAAAAGTAATGCAACTACATCCAGAATGGGTTGAACAGCTTCCATCTAGTCAGAAGAACCACCGTCTAACACCTTCAGGAGTTTCAAACTAAAATATGCTGGCATTCTTGACATTTTTTTGACCTTACTTCCTTAGCCCTGAGCCCAACTGGAAGGTGGTGGCTGAACTCATCTCCAAAACTGAATCTGGCCTTTGGGCTAAAACAGATCCCATAGAACTTGCACCCTTGACTGGACGACTGCTGCCCCCTGGAGGTCGTGACATGGAGACATTTGGCCTGGGGCAAATCTTGCCCTGGGAAAGAGCTTTACTTTGAGTTGTCCCATAACAAAGCCATCACTGAAGCCCCATCTGTGGAAAGTGCAAGATGATCTTGCTGCTATTGATGGGACGCAGTGAGAATTGCAGGACTTTCCAACTATTTCATGACGATATGGCCACGTGATTACTGCTGACTCTGTAGCTGGAGCATCCTCTAAAACTAAGCTTCCATTTCACTAGTGTAAAAGTGACCACATTTCCCCTTTTCTTTTCCGTTCTTACAAGGAACATCTTGTGTTCTGAAGAAGATAAGCATCCAAATAACTGTTAAGTTTTCGAAGAAAGATCACCCATCGCTTCTGCTTTTCCTTAGTCTTGTCTAATTAAATGTGCATGCACCCTCTGGCATTCCATTGTACTAAGTGTGAGCCGTACAGTTCCACCTTTTTGCACCATGGCAAGGAATATATTTCTCTCTCCCCGCAACCTCACAACACGTGTGCACACACCTATGTATTTATTCAGGGAGGTTTAATCCTGTCTGAGGAAAAGTTCTGGGAGACTCAAAAGCTTGTTTGTTATTTTATGACATTTTAGCTGGCCCTAATAAAAGCGTTAGGCTAATGCCACTTTTGCATTTTCTTGCTTACCTTTCTTGGGAGTTTGCGTACCCTTTCCAAAAAATAATTAAAAAACAACAACTGGATGGACTGTAAGTATTTTCCCATGCGAGGCTTAAATGGACTTTTCCTTAATGTGGAACCTACCATGGAATCGGCTGCAGAATGTCTGCCCTCTCCCTGAATTTTGTTGCATATTAACCCCATTTGGACGCATCACAACCTGCGCAAGAAAAGCCTGATGGGACTTTTCTTTTGCCGAATCTCTGAAATGCTCTAACCGCCCAACCCCATAATAGTTTGAGTGACTGCAGCTCCTTTATTAGGCTAATAGAAAAAGGGGCTATAAGACCTGAGGTACCACAGACACTACCAACGGCTTTCGCTGACCAGGCCCTGCCTGCCTCATCGGTTTCCTTTGCAGTTGCAATGCCGTTCCGGATCCTGAAGGACCATTTCTGACGTGCGTGTCCCATTGTCAAGACCTCTCTGGGGTCACTCAGGCCGAATTATTCAGAGAAGTCTCCATGCCCAGATAAAAGAAGTTCAGTGAACCCCCTCCCTCCACCTCCCAGCTCTTCTTTGTCCCTCTTGGCCAGGAGAAGGGGAACCCGCGCCTTCTGTTTTGCCACCTGGTCCTGATCAGGAAAGATTAAGCTAATACACTTTGCAGGGGCTCGGAGCGCGCTAGGTGCCAAGGGATGGCTCGAGCGTCTCTCCTGCTCTCTCTGGAGCCGAGTCCGCAAGCATAAACAGGAAAACCTTACATCACTGGTGTGTGCATGTGTGCGCGGGGGAGGAGCCTCGTTCCCGCTGTCTCTGCGCACCAGTCACAGCTCTTTGTGGTCATGAATTGACTGCAGAGAGCGCAAGCCGCGGCTCGGCGTGCATCGCAGAGGTCCGGGCGAGCGGGTCCTGCGCGGCGAGGCGAGGCGAGGCGAGGCGTTCGCAGCGCGCAGCATGCTCCGTCGACGCACCCGGGAGAAAGCCCAGGATGAAATTGCTTTGGAGAGCTAAAATGGTAAGCCGCGCTGCCTTGCCTTTCGCAGACGCGTCTCTGCCCTCCTTCGGGAAGGCTGGATTTACTTTCACGAGGGCGAACCGATGGGTGGGCATGCGTCTCCTCCACCGCCTCCATGCTGATTCTGCAAGGAATCTTTTAAGAGGTGGTTAACTGCCGCCACGGTTTCCCGTGAAGGCTGTTTTTTAAATGACGCTTATCCACAATCTAGTTTACTTTGCGGTTCCGTGGGCTCCATCTGAACAGAGGGACGGCTGTGGCGCTGGGGGGAACAGTTAAGAAAAGGAACCTAGCTGGATAAACTTTTGCATGAACTGTGAATGCTGTTTTCTTTGATCAATGACAAGGGGGCTGCTTCTGATTAATATTCCTTTCTTTAAATGCCATCCAGGGACTTGTTGCTGAACAGATTTCAAATAAAGTTGAATAAGAGATGCTATGATAGCTTCCCCCTGCCCCCTCTCGGACTTCTGTCATGTTCAACTTTTTAAAAACTTTGATGGGCATCTCTAAGGCATCACGGATACTAAGCTCTCAGTCCACGTCCTGGGAAAAAGTTCCAGAGAGCAAACACACTCTGACATCATTTCAGATAATTATTTCAGAATAAATAATTCTGAAGCTCTGCTCTTCAGGATTAAATCCCTGTTACTTCTCGGTCTTCCTGAGCAATCCATCATTTATAAAGTGTTCCTGCAGTTGAAATGGTGATGCTAATACTAGTTGTGGATAAATAGGGAGTGATTTCCTTTGGAAAGACATTGTAAAACTATTTAAAATATGTGCAAGCCCTAGTGGAGGAAAACCTAAATGGAAACTCGGAATATCCTGATAAGAGGCAAGGGCAGCTGGCCAAAAGTAGCCCCTTCCATTGAAAAGTATCTTGTCTTGGTTTGCAATTGTTATATTTACATAAACCAGTCATGCTGTGCAGCGAGGCATCCACGCAGCAGTTGGCCTAGATTTATTCTCAGAAGAAAAATAAGCTGTTGTGGTTGCTTTGAAAGCAAGCATTTCTTTTCCCCATACGGCAGAGCTCAATCCAGGACTGGGGCGAGGAGGTAGAAGAAGGAGCTGTTTACCATGTCACCCTCAAGCGAGTGCAGATCCAGCAAGCCGCGAATAAAGGCGCAAGATGGCTAGGGGTGAGTCAAAATGCCACTTTGGCATCTTGTATGAATGCTTGGTGGACTTTGGAGTGGCGTTGAAAGAGCTGAATTCCAAGGGAGCAGCTTTTCTCGAAGCAGTGCCAAAGCCTGCTTTTGACATTAACATGCTTGTGGGTCTTTCTCTCATCTTTCTTCTTTTGCTCGGTCTGTCAGCTCTCGCACTGGGCACAAAACTTGCGGGCTTGGTCACCTGCAGGGCTGCTTTTCCAATGCGGAGGTTTTAATGCATGTAGGGATTTAAATTTGGGGTACGTTTATGAATTGCTTTAGAGAGGAAGTATGCAGCTTCAAATCTTGGGCTGGCAGGACTGAGGAGAACCTGGAGAGCTGTTGTCAATCCAGGTGGACTGTGCTGAGCTAGGCAGATCATGTGCCAGATGTTTTAAGGAGCTGTGTTTGCTTTGGACCAGATTGGGTGCTGTGTTTCTCCTGTGAATGGGTTGAGGGACATTGGTAATGCTAAACAGGTCTTAGCCTGGCCTGGATTGAACGGGATGGGAGATTCCTCGGGAAGTTCAGGAGAGCTGCTCTGGGGCTTTCTGGAAGAGGAATGGATAAGTGTGTGCAGTTCTCTGTTTGTTCTTTCCTGGAAAGCTGGGCGTTACTATTTCACGCTGGCCATTAAGCGGCTTGTGTACTTCATGGCAGACTAGTAAATGCATAGGAACACGTGATTAGTGCCTCATTGTGCTGAGCCTTGTTAAGTCTCTTCAGGAACAGATCATGAGTTTATGTTATCGTCAGTTCCACCGTTGTAGCGAGAGGCACAATAAATAAACCCGGCAGTGTACGTTCTCCTTCGGCCAACTTCTTTTCCATGTGCTCGCCTGAAATGCTGCAATGGATTTTGCATGTGCTCTTGCTCAGATGCTGAAGAAGCCACGATTAACACGGCCAACTCAAGCACACTTTGCAGTGTAGTAACTGTCATTGGATACACTGGAATTTGCTTCTGAGAAAACATGCATAGGATTGCTTTGAGTGACTCGAGAGGGTCCCCTGTGCAACCAAGGAGTTGCTTCGACAGCCTGTATTACCTCGCTTCCTCAAAGCCTGCAAAGCACTCACAGCTTGCATTGGCTCTCCAGAGTGATGTCGCTGATTTATAGCACCTTCCTCCAGTCTGGTGCCTTCCAGATATGTTAGACTACAGCTCCCATCATCCCCAGCCAGCATGATTGGGGAAGTGGGTTTACAGAAACGAAGGCCCTGAGAGGTACAACTGCCCTAGTCAGACCTGACTTTAACTGAGTACAGCTTACATTCATGGAAGAATCAGATTTATGTCTGAGCTGCACCTAAGTGCTTTGGCAGGTCTCGAAGCCGACCTGACACCATAAACCGTACCCACGTGCTAGTTAAACACCCATTTTGAGAGGCCAGTCCTGGGCTTTCGGCATGCGACACTTGATTGGAAAGAAGCATCCAACGCAGGAATTCTACTTCGACAAGTAGGGAAAGCAGCTGAGATTCCAAATCCCGTATGGTGGATATTGACTCTCTTACATTATGTTTTACTATGGGGTTTGTCTTTCTTCTTTTAAAATATTTTCATAAAAAGGTGCAATACGGAAAAATAAAAAGCTACCAAAGGATCTTACACAAGTATAACATATGGCGTGAAAAAAAAAATAAATCCGAAGAAGTCAGTAACTGTGGTTGTCTTATTTTCATCACTGAATCTATTGTTGTATGTTTAATTTTGGGATTCTTTATCACCTTGCAATGGGAACATTTTGAGGGCTTTGTGCTTATAAGTTGCCTCTTCTGCCCTTTGCAGGAAGAGGCAGAGTATAAATACACTAAATATGCAATTCCTTATAAAGTACCTTGAGTGATGTGCAGGGCTGCTTAGACGTTCGATATGGATACAGATATAAAGCCATTTGTCACAAAAATAAAATGCTCTCCATGGGCACATGTAACCAAATTAACTTAATTTCTTAGTTATATTTTGCAAGCCTCGTTTTGCAGCAAAGATCTTATATACACTGATCGGATTCAGGATTCTTGGAAGACTCTTGAGAGTCGACTTAAAGGGGATCTTAGTCAGGTGCAGGAACATTGTCAGGCGGCCGCTCGGGTCAATGGAGTCAACTTTGCCCTTTGTGCTGGGCCGTCGTACCCATTGCTGCAAGTTTCTCCCTTTTCACATTCCCAAGAAGAACTGCGTGTCCTCAGCAAAACAGATGACTTCAAATCTGCGTCCTTTATGTGGCACGTTTCCCATCCATGCCTCCTGTTTGTAGTCAAGATGGGTGAAAAAATGGATTATTTTTCACAGATGGCAGCTTTTGCCGAGGTACAAGGCCATTGAAAATGCCATTTTGTCCTTAGCTGAGGTTTTTTTTAAAAAATGTAGTCAGTGTAGGGTATTGTGCAGACTGTTTTGGTGCAAATTAGTCCTGAGAATGCCACATTATTCAGCTACAAATTACACAGGAACATCAGAAGCTGCGTGGGCTTTTGGTTTGTCCAGCCCGGGATTGCTGACACCGAGCGACAGTAGATGTCCAACATTTCAGGTGAGAGTTTTTCCTGCCCAGGGCTCAGCCAGAATCAACTGTTTACGTACTTACATCCTGCCTTTTTTCTTACAAGAACTCAAGGGAGCCTACATCATTCCCTCCTCCTGTTCTCAAGCTCATCCTCACAACAACCCTGTGAGGTAGGCTGGGCTGAGAGGCTGTGACTGGCCCAAAGACACCCAGTTGGCTCTGTGGCCAAGCGGGGACCAGAACCTGGATCGCCTGAGTCCCGGTCCCGTGCTCTTAACCGCTGCACCATGCTGGCTCTCAGCCATTTACTGATCAAGCAATGTAGTACTTCAGCTTTTTGTGTTGTGGGGTGAGGGGAAAGGGGGCACCCCTCTTAAAGAAAGGCATTGGCATTGCTGCAATCCACAGACAGCTCTCTTAGATTTTGGTGGAAACCTTTCCCTTCTGCGGGAGAGCACAAGAGAAAGTCACTTTTAATGACTTGGATCAGAATATCTCCATTCGCTGAAGGAACAGAATCATGTGCTGGATCAGAACATCTCCTTTCGTTGAAGGAACAGAATCATGTGCTGGATCAGAACATCGCTGTTCTTTGTCCCGTGCGCTCAGTAGCATTTCTGCAGCCTTCACAGTATTCCCAAAAGGAGAGAAATTCCACATGGCCGTAGGAATTGCCAGGAAATGCTCTGGGACAGGGCACAAGTTTTGCATGGAGTCAGTCCCGCATTCAACCCTGACATCTCCAGGTGGGCCGGAAACGGATCCTGCCCATAATCCTCGGAGAGCTGCTGCCAGTCCATGCTGCCAGCATTGGTGTAGAGGGGCCAGTGGCCACAGGCAGCAGGAAAGCGCTTCTCGTCTTCCTATGACTAAGCCACACACATGAATGCATATTGTTTACCAGATGCTCGGTGTCAACAATGTTCCTTCTGGGATCCTCAATATAGCACACTGGGTCTAAGCATTTGCTATTTCACGATCCTTGAGAGTGTGATGGAATCAGAACCATAGAAGTGGAAGCCCTAATTAGCTCGTCTGTATAAATGGTTTCGCTTTATCGAGAAGGAATGCTTTGTTTCCCCCAAAGATCGGCAAGATAGAATGCTAGCGTTGAGATCTGATGCATTCTGGAGCCATTTTGACTTAGCAATAGTACTGATGGTCTTGTGATTAAAATGACATGAAAAACATGCCAAGGATAAAAAAGTTCAACCTGTGAATACTTTGACGAATATTAGAAGTGGGGTTCAAGGGAATTTATGGGCCCAGAGAGGTAGTGAGTGCAGAGACTGGTTCTCTTGAAAGTAATCCCGATACTGAGGGCAGCACATGGGGATAGAGGGGCTGGAGCCGGCGGTATCCTCTCACTCTGGAGCTTTGCTTCGCACTCGTACCAGCCTGGCCCGGGTTGGAGGAGCGACGAGGCACGGCAGATCTGCCCGGCCCAACAAAGCATGTCAGGTCCACCGAGTCCCCGATGAGGTGGGACTGAAAGACGACGAAGCGTCAGCATCAGAGACCGGCTTGGCATGGGGGAAAGCAGGAGATGGCGGTGAAGGTGGAGGAGGGAATGGGGAGGGAAGAGTCGCACATTGGGATGGCTCTGAGGAACTGCTGGGGAAGAGGAAGGGAAGCAAGGTGGGCTGAAGCAGGCCACCTCGTAGGAGACATTCCCCCCCGCCTGCTGTGGACAGAAGGTTCAGCTCCTTCCCTCCCAGAGTTCCCTTCAATAGGAGCAACACACCCTCAGCAGGAACGGCTGTGCTGACAACAGGTTTTTTAGGGGCCCTGGGCCAGACACCCAAAATATTCTTTCTCCTCTTTCCTGTCACCATCATTGCTGCCTCTCGCCTGCATCAGCTCTTCCTACTTCTTACCACCGTCATCGTTTGGACCAGAGGAACAAGCCCAGAGGGCTCTTCTCCATGGGCAGGCGGCTCTTCACATCACCTTGGGCAGGTGTCCGAGGCTTGGCTGACCCTTGATAGTGCTTTGGATTCATAGCGTTGGACTCTGGGCTGAATCCAGACCCCAGGAAGGTCATTCCTGGTCCCCGGTCCCCACCCTAGAGGCAAGAGCAGTGCCTTGGAGTGCAGGACTCTGCACCAGGGCACTTGGGAACCTAGTGGCAGACCTCTGCCTTCCATCGCCTGCAGCTTCTCAAGGCAGCCTTTCGGTAAAATGAGTTGCTGATCAGTTTTGCAGGCAAAGGGTTTGCTGCTGGCTTGGACAGCTAATTTAACACGCCCATGCTGTCAGCAATTCTCCCTTAAAAATGGGAAACTGTTGCTTTTGACATAAGTCTGCGGGGGGATACTGTCTTGCGCTTTGACATTCGACCTTGGTCCTTTGACATTTCCACTTTTTTAGCTGGGAAGAAACTGCTGGACTCGGGTAAAGAACTGTTGTTAGCTGTTTGCTTTGTGACATCCAATTTGTCTGCCTTTTTTCAATGCATATGCAGAACAACTAGGGGAA